ATATATATATATATATATATATATATATATATATATATATATATATATATATATATATACCAATAGGGTAGAGGCCTGTGGAAACCATGTATTTATAAGATAGACAATGAAAGTAGATTGATAAAGTAAAAAAAAAGTTTAAAAATTCAATACCAAACTATATTGAAGTATAGATAGTCAACATAGGATAATATTGTATTTTAATAAATTAGACTTGAATAATTCATAATTTTATTTTTAATAGAAGATGGTTAAAGTGATTATAAGATAATATATTCTAAATAAAAAAAGTTATTATATTTTGATGATAGGAAAAAATAAACATTCTATAGCTCTAAAAAATAATTATTTACTTCAAATATTTTATATGATTTTTGTAGAATTATATCTTCTAAATATTGTAAGAGATAAATATTTTAAAGACTTAAGTTGCAACTTTGAAGTTAGTGGCTCAAAATATATGAATTTTTTAGACGACATTTAAGATACAAAAAGAAGTATTATATTCATTTTAAGAGTTAATGTATGTAAACGATAATAATTAATAATTTCAAAATTTAAATTTTGATTTGGCTTTTAAAATTCAAAATATGAATATTGATATTTATTTATAATTTTATAATTTATAATCAACTTTTATTCTAAAATTTATAGAAAAATATGACATTATTTTGCATTTTGGAACCTTAACCGATGAAAAAAACTATCATATTAACAATTTGACTTGGTTTAGAAAAGTTAATCGATAGCAATCTCCGCTAAAAGATAAAGGTTTAACTAATTGTCTAATGATAATAATTTTTTTTTTTAATATTAGATGTCAATAAATTTTTAAGAATACAACATGACATCATTAAAATCATACTTTAGAAAAATATCATTTGTCAATGCGGGAATAGCTCACTTAGTAGAGGTCGAAGCCTCTTAGACATGAGATCTCGGGTTCAAACCTCCGGACATATAGAAATTGACTAACTTGATGAATTTAATATATAACAACTAACCGGCCGTTAAAAAAAATGTCATTTGACACTTAACTTGATTTTTATTTATTAGGTAATATAGATATAGATACACATATAGATTTAGATTTAGATAAGGATAGATGAGAGGCTTACATGAATGAATAAATGAGACGACCGCAAAATCCAAGCCTGCTTCCACTAAGAAAATTTTCGGGTTTCATAGCTAGTGCTTGCAAAGCCGTTTCACTGTTCCTATCAGATTCAAGCACGATGTTAATTTGGGTGCATATCAATTATTTTCAACGCCACATCTGCATCACGAGATTCAACGCAAGATTTAAACCGATGTAGTTAAAACGAAGGGATTTGTGTTTAATATGTGTGTGGGACTGTGGGATGTCGTAGTGGGTAAAAGGACGAGTGATGATTTTTATACTACATAAATAACTGCTAAATATCCCAAGTTATAAGCTGCAAATATCGGACTTACCATAGAATCCAGCCATAATTGTAAGGGTAATGAGATCGCCACCAGCAAGTCCGGTGTACGGACCAGTCCCTTCCTCAGCTCCGGGTGGTGGTAAATCTGGAGTCACCGTCAGCAAGTATTGAAGCGTTTTCTTGTTTCCATGCCATGCAGCCAATTTCAACGGCGTATTACCGGATCCATTCGGAAGACGGGTCATAGACGGGTTCTGGGCCACCAAAAGCCTTGCAGCAGTGGTATTACCAACCTTAGCAGCATAATGGAGTGGGTTGTTTGCGCCATAAGGCGACGCAAACAGCTTATCAGCTGCACCAACTTCAATGATACGTTCCACCAGCTTCTTCATGAAACGTTGGGAGCGATTCGTTCCCACGGCTATGACTAGAGGCGTCTCTGACCAATATATAGCCGATCTGCTTTGTCATCAAGTCCGGATCTTGTTTGAAGATTTGACTTACAGATTCCCAATCGTCAAGCAAGGCCGCTTTGTAAATCGGAAGATCTTGAATAACGTAATTGTAAGTCATTTTGGTTATAATTTAAATCTGCTCAGATGAATTTCAAATATCTTTGATCGATATATGTTCTGATTTGCGATTCATATTTCATATATAATCTATTTGTTGAGTCAATTCATGCAGCTGTATTTAAGATTCCTGCTACAAAGACGCTATAAAGAGTAATATAATCCCACTAGTATAATTTTAATTCGTTGGCCTATATATATATTACCCTCGTCATCATCTATTCGTCATCAAATGTTATAATCTCTTGGGCATTAAATAATGACAAGCAGACATTGGCTGTTTGCCTGTTATAATTAGCTTAGATTCTTATTAATTAGAAGATATTGACTACCTACGGTTCTTTAACATAAAGTCTGAAAGGTTGTTATAACATATTGCAATCCTTAAAATTAGAAAGCGATAGTCTCTTGTTTAAGAATTTAAAATTTTAGATGATAATAAGAATAAGGTTTGTAAGATAACAAATTTAAAATATGACTTGTTTTCTTGAGCAAAAGGAGAAAATGATATATGTGCTAAGTTTTCTTTTGTGGTTGAATTTGGTCACTTGCATTATTCAACGAGCTTGATGTCACAAATATTTCAAAATATGTTGGTGTTCATGAACTTTTTAAAGTATTCATGCATACGATATTTTCGATTTTAGTTATTTATTAATTTATTTTTATTTTTAAGGAATAGAAACAGAAAACCTATGATAATAATTGGGTTGTTTGGCTTCAAAAGGCATGTCTAACTTGTATTTATTTTATTTTTTATTTTATTTATTTATTTATTTTTTTGTAATCATTTGTTCTATTTCCACAATAGTTCTTACTATATTTTCATCGTTCCAAAAGAAACATGATCAAACAATACACAAATGTTAAACTATTGAACTTCATGTCACCACATTCATATATCCGGCCAAACTTGAAACTGACGAAGTATAATGAATTGTTAAATCACATTTGAACTTGATCAACTTGATCGAGTATACTAGAAGTTTATATAGAGATTACAAATATAAGGATAACTATGACAAGGAAAAAGCTAAAAAACTCGTAATTATAAACATTTTATGACATTTTTTTTCATTCGAAGCATGACGAAATTTGCATGATTAATGATAAGTTCTAATGACGTTTAATTGTGGAGACTATAAATCATGAAAACATATTGCTATAGATAAAAAAACCGTCACTATATGATAGAGAGTTTATGGAGTTGTATAAATCTTATTTTGATATATTTCACCAAGAATATAGTCACTTTTTATTTATTTTATTATGTACTTTTTGTCACAGTTAGAATTAAAGCATCACCATAAATTAGTTTTAATGACAAGAGTATTCTTATAGAATGATTGTTGTGTATAATTAGTCACAAATAATTAGAAGAATATCATAAAATAATTATAGTCAAGTATTATTTCTTTTATTATGACTATTAATAACTTCTATTGACATGTTTAATAATATATAGTGATATTATTACGTTTAGAAATAAATCACAAATTTAACGTCACCATAATATATCTATAGTGACGGTTTTCCCTATATAAGTGACAAATGTTTACATTTAGTTACCACAAGAACTTCGAAAATGACCATTAAATACGTATAATGATTGTATTTATTTGTTATTATGACTATTTTTTTTACATTATTTATACAAAAAAGAAATTAAATTGTCATCATAATATACTTATAGTCAACCTTATCGACACAGATTATAAATTAAATTGACATCATAACATACTTATAGTCACCGATTATATAATGTATGGTGACCAATATTTATTTTTGCAAACGCAAGTAAAATTAATTTGTGAGCATAAATTAGCTTTAATCACCTGTTTAATGGTGTATCATTACTAATGTTTACATATAATGACACATAATAATTTCAATCACAACAATATATTGACAATGTTTATTCGCAAATAAAAATTTAAACGGTGAACATAAAATAACTATAATCATGGTCTTTATTAGTTATCATGACTATTGTTTACTCTATCGAGACAAATAAAAAATTTAATCGTCATCATAAAATACTTATAGTCGTCATTTATAAATATTATTGCGATTGTATACTTTTAGAGGAAATTTCCATAAAAGTCCCAATATTTTGGTAAAATTTTTAATAAAGTCCTAAATTTTATTTTTTTAAACAGAAAAATCCAGAGTTTTTAACTTTTTATGTATCATCTGAAACCCTAAGGTACTAAAATTCATTCATTTATTTTGCATTATGAGGGTTCTTACGACGTGATATCTTGGGGATCACGTCGTGAGTGATCATTGACTTGTTGACCCACATTTTGGAGACTCACGACGTGAGGCATAATGACTCCAAACCCTAATTTTCGGGTATTTAAGAGAATGAGAGGCTAGGGTTATCCATCCTCAGCCTCTCTCACCCTCTAAGCCTCTGGAAAACCCTTATCTCGACCCTCTTGAAGTCCTTAGGCATTTTTGAGATCTTTGAAGCATTCTTTGGTGGTTTTTGGCTCCTTGTAGTGGAAGAAGACCTTGGTTGAGCAACCTCTTGGCGTCTTGGCTCCTACCTTGCAATCTCTTAGAGCTTTTGGACCATTGTAAGTCTTAAAGCTTGGACCTTTCTACCTTTTTCATTCTAGATCTAAGTTATAAGCTCCTTTTTGCATGATTGGGTGGGATTGCTTGCATGGGATCCATAAAGTTGGCTACTTTATGGATCATTGAGTCACTCTATATAATATAGTCTTTGGATCTGAGTTTTGGTGTAGTTTGAGACTCCAAGTTTGAGTCTAGATCTCATTTTCCCCACTTTTGACCTAGTAAGAGTTTGAGTCATGCAATGGACATGCATGACTGAAAAGCTATGATTTTTATCATCCCTTTGGGTAAAGGAAGACCCTCTGGAAAGTCCCAAGTTATGGTTGTAAGGAATAAGAGCTTAATGCTCAAAGCTGGTCAGTGCAGATCTCACGACGTGAGGATTAAGATCATCACGTTGTGAGAATACTAGCCACCCCGGCTATTTTGTCCGGATTAGGTCACGACGTGACCCAGGGTGAGGTCGCGACGTGACAAGGACTGGAATCGTCTTGATGGGCTGAGTGGACCCTCTGATTCGGGACTGGGTCGAGTTGGTGCTCACGACATGACCATGAGTTCGTCATGACGTAAGGACCAACTGTTGGAGTTTGGACAATTGACTTAGGGCTTTTTTTCTAGCATATTGCTCTTCCTTGGATTTAGGCCCATGTTTGGGCCCAATTCGAAAGATTGGGCCATGATTGGGCTGTAGGCTGCCATTTAGGATTTGGGCCTTTTGAGTAGTTGAGTTGGGCCTTGGCTTTGGGCCAAGTTAGATAAAGGGTAAAATGGTCTTTTACCCTGGTTATGGGGCAAGTAGCTTAGAATCGTGGTTATGGGTCAGAATCCAATTAATAATTGAATGTTACTTTGATGATGATAGCGCGTGGATTTCCGGACCAACAGTCAGAGATTTAGTTGGGTGATTCAGCAGCATGGGATGAGTTTCCTCATTGTGTTTTAACGGGTCGAAGGCACTAATGCCGACCCATGGTTTATTATGTTAGGATGCTAGATGTCTGCATGACTCTTGCATGTGTTATGTGTTTGTATGCTTACCGGGTAAGGCTCAATGCCGGACGTGGCTCGATGACCATTCTGTATGCTATTTATCTTCGTGATTATTGCATGTGTTATGTGTTTATCTATTTATATGTTTATATGTATACCGGGCAGGCCCGATGACTAATAGATCTGTATACCGAACGAGGCTCGATGCCGGGCGGGGCCCATTATGTGATTATTATGTATGGTGTATGGTAGTTTGGGGAACTCGCTAAGCTTTGTGCTTACATTTTCTATTTATGTTTTCAGGTACTTCTGGTTCGAAGGGGAAGAGCCCGGGATGATTGCAGTGCACACACCACCTCGTTCTGCATTATATGATTACTTTGACGTTTTCTGATGTATTTGATACACTTTGTTTTACCCTGGTGTGATGATGATGTTTTGGATAATAGTTTTTTTAAATTAAAAACAAAATTTTTAGTCTTAATTTTTGGGACGTTTCATTTTAAATAGAAAAGACCAAGAAACCGACTAATTTATTCACTGCAACCCTTTTGACTTGTTAGCAGGTCATGTGACCAAATTGTTAATTTTTCCAAATTAATGAGAATTTTCTGCATATTTCGTCAAAACTTGTATATAATGTAAAAACATATTTTTTTTTATGTATTTACATCTATTTGAACGTATTTATGTATTTTTTTTAATGTTTTTATATGTATATGTTTGCATATTTTTATGTATTTTAAATGTATAAACATGTTTTTTTACATATTTATATCTATTTTTAAGTAATTTACGTATATTTTTTAATGTATTTTTATGTGTTATTTATTTATGTATTACGTATTTATATCTATTTACATATTTTTTATTTATTTGTATATGTTATTTTTTTTATGTATTACATATTTATGTACTTTTAAGCTTTTTTATATAAATGTTTATGTATTTTGAATATACAAATGTATTTTTTACGTATTTATATGTATTTTTAAGTATTTTACATATTTTTATGTATTTCTATCTGTTTTAATTTATTACGTATTTATGTATTTTTCTAAAAGTTTTTATATAGATGTTTATATATTTTACATGTATAACTGTATTTTGTCTACGTACGTATGTATTTTTTTTACTTTAAGTTGTCTTCACCATTTCATCCAATTCGTACAGATTCTTCGAGTATGTTTAGATCGTTTTCCTACATACCTACATATTTTAAGCTTTTCCCATTCACTTATCTT